GTGGACATCGTTATCCATAGATACAGAAGCATAAACTATTAGAAAGCCATGGTGGTGCATACCTGGGACAACTGGGGATGCCCAGGGAATCAGACCTGGGCATGTGTGAGGAAACCTAGCTTTCCTACTTTCGTTGGGAGCATTGTTCTCCTCCTTGCTCTTCAGTGTTCCCTCTCCCAGCCCCCACCTTAAACTCTGGAGCAAAGTAGAACTTTTTTTTTTAACTGAAGACTATTGACTACCAGGAAAAAAGGGGAAAAAAAACCCAACCAAAACCAACTTCTCTTTGGAGAGACATAAAATGTACTTAACTCATCTGCTTTTTTTAATTTTTTTTTTTTTATGAATTTAGTACAGGGTCTACAGGGATTACAGGGTCTTACTATGTGGATCAGACTCATAGTGATTCTTCTATTTTCAGACTCCCAAGTGCTGGGATTACAGGCACGCACCACCAAGCCCAGTCTCAATCACCATCTCAGCAAACCCTGTGGGCGGGGCCTACACTACATGCCAGGGATCAAACCCTGGCCGCTGTGCTCTGCCTAAGCAGGTGCTTTAGTCCACTGAGCTATCTGGCCAGCCCTAACCCATCTGCTTTTAAAAACTGAGAATGAAGAATAGGAGCTCTAAGCTGGTGCGGTGGCACATGCTTGTAATCCCTGGAGAGTCTGAGGCAGGGTGGTCATGAGTTTGAGGCCTGGCAACTAGTGAAATGCTGTCTCAGAATAAAGCTGTAGGGATGTGGCTCAGCAGTAGAGCACTTATGCGGAACCTTGGGTACAATCCCCAGTACTATGGGGATGGGAGAGACCAGGAAACATAAGCTTTATTAAAGCTTTTCTACAATAAAGGAAAGGGATGGGCAGAGAAGAGAAAGAGATGTTAACAAGAAAGGAAAGCAAGGTGTCAAGACAGGGAGAAGGAGGCCAGATGGGGAAGGATAAAGCAATGGTGGGACAGAGAATGGCAGAGTGGGGGGCATGGTGGTCAGCACGGAGAGGCTTAGAGGTGGACAGGCTAAAATTAAGAGTGCACCAGAGGTCTGGACTCCAGGTGTACAAAAACCTACCTCAAGTATTGTTAGTGGTGAAGTGCAGAAAGGATCCTTGGAGATCAGGAACGCGACTAGGAGAGCTACTATCACTGTCTGTAGTCAACATCACACTGGGGTTTTAGCTAGTGAAGAGCAGAAGAACAAAGGAAGAAAGAAAACTTACTGTTCATACCTGATCTGTGTGCACAGAAAATCCCAAGGGAAATTTAAAACTTTAGGAAGGTTTCCGGTCATAATCCCAAGGTACAAGAATCATTTGTATTTCTGCATAGAATCACAAATAAAGAGAAATGGAAATGTATAAAATGATGGTTTACAAAAACAAACAAACAAAAACCCTTACCATGTTTTTCTACCTCACTTTCCTGAAGTATAACATTAGGGCCACAGTTACAATAATAAAAATAATAATGGGCATAGTAAAAGCAACTGGAGTTTATTATGTATAGTATCCCAGAAAATATTCTAAATGTTTTCATGGATTCTTACTTTTAACCTTCACAACAACCCTTTAATGATTATTATGAGGACTAAATGAGGTAATGTATGTAAAGCACTTAGCAAATTGCCTTGTACATAGCAAATTCTCAATAAATTTTAGCTCTATAAAAGTAATCATTATTTTAGGGAAAACTTATAGACCTAGTTGTTAGTAGAACTAAGCTGCTGTTCATTTGGCTTAAGATTTGTAGAATAAACAGTCATATAATATCATTTTGAAATTTTAAGTAGCTTATTAATTCATTTATTCATCCAGGCACTGCTCTCAGGCCTAAGAACGCAGTGGGTAAACAAAAATCTATGTCCTGTTGGAACTTATAGTTTCATAGGGGGAACAGAAATTAATCAAGTCTAGAAGTACACAGGCAAGGCATTCTGGGAGCATAAGGCGGGCCTGGAGGACTGGCCCTGGCTACAGAATGAAGGAAGGCTTTGTTGCAAAACTGCCAGCTGAGCCAAGTGCTGAAGGCTAAGTGGACCTGAGGGCGAGGGGAGGACATTGTTCCTCACACAGCAAGCTGTCTGTGTGAAGGACGGGAGCTTGTGAGAGGAGGGGGAGCCTGGCGTGTTACAGGAGCTGACGGCAGTGTCTGAGGGACTGGAGCTCAGAGGCCTGGGAGAGGGTTGTCCTAGGAGCTGTGGCGGCAGAGGGGGACAGAGGACAGGTCATTACAGGCTTGGGAGCCTGCTCAACATTTTGGCACTCCTCTTAGGGACAGTGCCATCCACTGCAGGGTTTTGTGAACAGGAGTGCTGTGCTCAGAGGTGTTCTAAGTATTTCGACATTGAGGAGGCCACTCCTGTTGTCCAGGGAGGTACAAAAGTAGGTTAGGCCAGGGCACATCCACGCAGAGAATTAGCAGGTGTTTCTGAGAGGTGTTTAAGGCAGTAATGATGGGACTTGGCATTGGCTTGGGTGAGGGGGATGGGCCCTCCACTGATGTCTCCTTCCTAGGGTCTCACTTGCAGAGCCGAGTGACTAGGAGTGACATTACTGAGATGAACATAGTCTTTCATCACCACGAAATAGCTTTGTTGATTTTATGTTGAAACTTGAGAATGCATTTTAAGTGTTCATTTTCCTTGGGAAACATGAATGTCTTACACATGGGCAAAGGACAGATTGAGGACAGATTCTTCAGATTTGAAGAATTTAGATGTGCTTACTCCTAGTTTTCTATTATTATTATTATTATTATTATTATTATTATTATTATTTTGTATTTTAGGGAAGGATCTACAGGATGTTCCAGGTCTCACTACTAGATCAGACTCATAGTGACCTGCTTGTTTACGGTCTACCAAGAGCTGGGATTACAGGCGTGTGCTGCCACCCCGCCAAGTCTCAAATGCCATCTCAGCATGCTAGTTTTCTTTTTTGATTTAAAAGTAGTTGAGTTGTTATATGTTTAGTTTTTTTTTCTTAAAGGACAGAGTTAGCAAATTTATACGTTTGTGAAAGTTACATTTAGACACTGAGCGTGGCGTTATATGGCCATAATCCCAACTACTCAGGAGACTGAGGCAGGGAGATCATAAGTTTGACCTCAGCCTAGGTCACTTAATAAGACCCTGAGTTAAAAAGCAAAGCAAAAGCACTTAGAACCTCCTATAGTCAGTCTCTTGCCTTTGCCTCTGTCAAGTGTTTTTTTTTAATCCGAACAACTGAATAGATTCAGGGCTGATCCTGTGCCTTCAACTTCATTGCATTAACCTTTTAAGTCCTTCTTACATCTCCAAACATTAGATGTGAGAAAAGAACTTTTGAAGTTGGAACATTTTCACCTCATCCAGGGATTGTACAGACTGGGCCATGTTAAGTGCTGCTCTTGAACTTCTCTGGCTTGCGATATCTCTGGCAGGTACACCACAGCTAGAAAAGATCTACAGGTGTTTTGTTTAAAGCCTTCATCGTATGCTGCTGGTGGCTGAAATTTATGACCAAGTCTATGAGAGGCCCTGGAGTTCACCCACTTTCCCCTGGCCTGGTTGGGACTTCTGAGCTTTGCCATCCTGTCAGAGAAGAAGCTCTGAGGGAGATCAGTTTGAGTCTTGATCTCTTGCCTCTTTTACATAGGAAAGGACTCCTTGGAAGGAATTGACACTACTTGTAATTTACAGTGGTACCTAAGTTTCTGAGCTTCTTTCCACGATTCTGGTCGCAAACTGAATGGATAATATTATAATTTGTGTTTGAATGTGCCCCCAAAGCCTCATGTGGTCATGAGGATGGGCTTTTTTGAGACAGCTGAATTTATTTATTTATTATTTATTATTTATATGTATTTGGTACAGGGTCTCACTATGAAGCTCAGACTTATAGTGCTTCTCTTGTTTTCAGCCACCCCAGCTGGGATTATAGGCATGTACCACCATGCCTGGTCTCTGTGGCTGGCTCAGTGCGCCCAGCGGTGGGACCAGTGTGGCATGTGATACTGCCCTGCGCTTGCCTAAGTAGGCACTTAGTTGGCTGAGCTATCTCTCTGGCCTGAGACAGCTGAATCTAGAGTTTGTGACTGGTTCATTGTCTAGGATGGGTGTGGTGATACGAGTGTTACACCACCCCACGGTGGATAGCCTGCATATACTATCAGGGAGGGAAAGAGGGTTGGCTCCCCCTTTTGCTCTTGTTGCTTTCGGTATCTTCCCCTACCACTAACTGTTGCCCCTCTGCCGTGTCACAGAGCCAGCTGATTATGGATTGAAACCTCTGCAAAATGTGAGCTAAATAAACCTATCCACCCATAATTTTAGGCATCAGACATTTTGTCTCAGCAGTGAGAGAAAAGTAAGACAGATGTAGGGCAGGGGAGATGGCTCAGTGGAATAAGCACTTCCCTGGCAAGTGCAAGGGCCTGAGTTCAATCCCCGGTTTCCACAAAAAAAAAAAAAAGTAAGACAGATGAAACCTGAGTCAAAGTCCTACTGGTCCACTCTCTGCTTAAGGACAGGACCAGAGGCAGGGCCTATGGCTGGTAGTGTGCTTACACCTCAGGTCAGATGGTAGGTCTCTCTTGCTTTTTCTCTAGTAAACACGCACATATGCACACAAACGTGCACTCATGCACACCAGTGTCCTCAGCCCACTCTGGCATATTGTAGCAGCCTCCTTGGTGTCAGGAACTGGGACAGGACTTCATGTCTTGACTGAATTCTGGGCACCAACTACACTCAGAGGTGAGAGGGGAATCTGCAGGATTTTTTTTTTTTTTTTTTTTTTTCTCCAAATGCCTTCAGGGCAGGTTTGGCTGGCTTGAGTTGTGGGGATTGAACCACAGCAACCTGAGCCTGACTGCTTTGTTGAAGCAGCCACTTAAAGAACTGAGCTAAGGGGCAGGCCCCCAGGAATCTGAATATTAAAGTTCTTATAGACTGGTCTCCCCTATTCCTCCCGCCATCCCCAACTAACAGCCTGCTTCTATTCCTGTTTCTGCTTTTGTAGCATTCCACCTCAGTGAGCATCATGGGCTTTTCCAACTCTCTGGAGATGGAGTTGTCGTCCACCAGGCTGGCGAGGACCCTAGAGCCGCAGGTCCAGAGCGTGAGCAGTCTGGCAGCTGGTGCCCATCAGGCAGTGCCAAGTGTGCTGAGTGGCCCCCCACACCCTGTGGCCAGCATTACAAGTATTCAAACTCACACCATGCCCAGCCTGACCACCAGTCACCTACAGGCTGTGCCAGGCCTTGTGCGTGGCACCTTCCAGTCCATGCCCAACCTGATGAGTGATTCACCCCATGTCATCACGACCCTAGCAAGTGATCACACTCAGGCTGGGCTGAGTCTCATATCTGGTCACATTCAGGCTGTGCCAAGTCTGGGGACATGTCCTTTGCAGAACATGCCCCCAGTATCTGACATGCAGCTGGAAACTGGGTCCAGGTCCAGTCCTGGCTGTAGCAGAACTTCTGAGAGCCTGTGCCCCAAGGATGGGGCCGATTCCTCCCTGGAGAACTCCCTATGTAAGGTAAGTCTCAGGAAGATGCCAGCCAACTTCCTCTGCTTATCACTGAGCAAAAGTTTGGCTGCTGAAGGCCTCATTCAGGCCTTAGCTTAATAGCTCTGAGACCACTGATGGCAGATGTGTTTGATTTCTTTGATTCTTATTATTGATCTTTCACTTTTGAAAGATGGAAAGTGAAGATTCCACTCGCATCATTGACGCAGTGCGACAAGGCCCCACAGTCCCTGGCTTGGATGCTCCAAAGGACTTGGGTATTTCCTCAGAACTAGAAGAGCCAATTAATCTTTCTGTGAAAAAACCTCTACCAGCACCAGTGGTCAGCGCCCCTACAGCTCTGCAGCAGTATCGGAACCCAAAAGGTGAGATGCGAGTAAGCAACTGTCTTTTGTGTTGACCAGACTTGAGCAGGTGGCCTCAGTAGTTACAGGTGAGACAGAAGCCAGCAGACAGGCCTGCAGGGTAGGCAGTCCCTGCTTCTAGCTAAGGCTAAGCACATGTCTCTCCCCTCCTCTGACTACCACTACTCTGTCTCCCTCACCATGGCCAGGTCGGGTCCATGTTGCTTCCTGGATGTATTCCCCATGCAGAGTCCTGTTGTATGTAAGGCGAGATAAAGAATTCACCCCATGAGGGCTAGCCTGGGAAAAATATTATAGGTAAAAAGCATGCCTAATATTGGAATCAGGCAGATCTGTGAGACCGCACACTCTGTATTTTTATTTGATGTTATTTCAGGGATGAAATAACATCCCTGAAATGGTTTCTTTCTATGTAACTAAGACTAGTTAGACTGACTTCAAAGGCTCCTGGAAGAAGTAACTAGTTGAATCACATAATAACTTATTTGTAGTAACAAGAATTTACCTTGTACCCACACAGATAATTTCAACTTGTGTTGTGCTTCGTAGTAAATGGAATTTGGGCCATTGAGATTTGGCTTTGGTCTTCTCAGCGACCCATACCCCTTCTCACACTGAGCTAGGCTAAGGTTTGCTTCTGAGGGAGGCGGGGACCAATTGGGGGGTTAGAAGTTGGATAGCTATTGATTATAATTTGTGATTATCAGCCTATTTTTCATACATTTAATAAATGGACACAAAAGAAACAATTTTTCTCCTTTTCTCCCTCATACTGATTGAGGAAGCACTGTAATAGTATTGGTTTTTATTATACACAATAACATAATCCTTTTTTATGCATTAAATTACATTTTTGGGGGGCTCTGCCCACATAAAAATGCAAGGGTAGTACCTGGTGCTGTGGGGTGCAAAATCAATGCCAGCTCCTCCTTTTCCCACCACTGCTCCCTGCCCATCCTCATGGGCTGTGTGTGCGCAGGAGGCCTCCTTGCAGCTCCGGTCCACAGAGTGGGAGCTGGGTTCTAAGGCCTTGGTGGAATCCCAGAGCATGGATGAAAAGGCTGAGACTACACAGAACCCAGAAACCCTGTGGGCTTCTCAGAGCCCACAGCATGAGCATGCAGGGAACAAGTGATTTCTGGGCCCATTTTGAAGATGAGAAGCTGGCCTCTCAGTACCTAACCTAACACTCACATGTGAGTAGCCTCTGAGTGTCATCTGTGCACGTTTTATAAAAGGATGGCCTTCCTCTTCTTTTGGGAAGCAGGCAAGCCTTTGCCACCACTGTAGATAATAAGGGTGTGACAGGTGTGTGGCCAAAGGTGTGAAGAGCAGATGGGAGTGGAAGGCAGGGGTGACTGGGTATGCTGTCACAGATGCATGTCACAGGAAATTTATTTGTTTCTTTGCTTCAGAGTATGAGAACTTTGATCAAGGAGTCCTAGAATTGGATACAAAGGAAAACCAGAGCATCGGGTAAGAGACTCTTGGCAACCTCGCCTCTCATGCCCAATTGCATGCCCTGCGAGGTTGGCATGAGAAGAAGCTTCTTTGATGACCCAACCAGAGTTTCTTTACTGGATTTCTTCCAAGTGTGCGATTAGGAAGCCCTTCCCTCCCGGGCAGGGTAGGAAGCAGAACCTTGCCTGCATCTGTCTTTTTTAGCTCCAGACCATCTAGAGGGCCATGTGGTTGGCTGTCCAAGATGTCCTTGCTCCCACATGGTGACACAGGCATACACTCTGTGCACAGTCCCCACACTTCAGGAGCCCCTTTCTTTGATCAGTGACTGTATCAGAGGGCTTCCTAGTATCTGGCAGGGCTGTCCAGGCATAGCTGGTAAGAGGGCACGTTGTGGACCTATTCAGGGTCCAAATGAGGAGATCTTGAGTAGTTATCAAATGGTAGGATCCTAGATGAGCCTTAGTTAGGGATTGAGGCAAGGGTGGCTCCCTCTGAGACCTAGGATACCTCTCTTATCACAGGACCTTCAGTAGTGATCCCAAGATCCCCTATGTGCGACTGGAGCGACTTAAGATCTGTGCTGCCTCCTCGGGAGAGATGCCTGTGTTCAAGCTGAAGCCCCAGAAGAACGATCAGGATGGGAGCTTCTTGCTGGTCATTGAGTGTGGGACTGAGTCCTCCAGCATGACCATTAAGGTACCTCTTTGCTTGGCCTTGGCCTTGAACTTTGGCCCAGCTGAGGAGCTTTTCCTGTTTCTCTGCTACTGACAGAATTCTAGCTTTAGGGCCTATCCTGAGTGAGTGGGGTTGTAGCTTGGCTAGACTTTGACCTCATGGAAAGGGGCCTATGGGATGCTCAGCTTGAGTGTCCTCTGCTGTGTGGGAGCTGGCTGGATTGTGATCCTGGGTGAGTGTTTCTCACAGTAAGTGCTCAGGGCCTGCCCCTCCCCCCATGCAGCCCTCAGCCACTCATCACTGCTGTGCCCTGACTGCTCAGACTCACCTCTTCCCTAAGGTCAGCCAGGATAATGTGCCTGATGCCATCCAGGCCCCAGGTCTCGGGGGAAGAAAGGTTACTGTCACTTCTCTGGCTGGGCAGCGGCCACCAGAGGTGGAAGGTGCATCTCCTGAAGAACACAAGCTCATTCCTCGAACTCCTGGAGCCAAGAAAGGTCCCCCAGTCCCGATAGAGAATGAGGACTTCTGTGCCGTGTGTCTCAATGGTGGGGAGCTGCTGTGCTGTGATCGCTGCCCCAAAGTGTTTCACCTCTCCTGCCATGTGCCAGCCCTGCTCAGCTTTCCGGGGTGAGTCATGCCGTCCAGGTGGGCATCTGGCTAGACAGATTGTATTATTATTCCAAGCTGTGTCCACAGAGCCCCAGGGTGGGTTCGCTCCCTCTTCTGGGCCTGTGTGACGTGTAGTCTGTGAGGGATGGGGCCCACAGCTGTGCGCCTTCTGCACATGGGCCGGTGCATGTTGGAAATTTGCTTGGCTCCCGCTTGTCTTCTGTTCTCAGCTTCCTGTCCAGAGATTTGTCCCACTGCCCCTGCTTTATGCTCCCCCTACCTGCTATTTTTTGGGGGATTTACTAAATCTGGAATTTACTGACTTTCTTTTAAGCTTGTGGTTAGGAAGCCACTCCCTCCAGAGCGGGGCTAGAGGTGCCATTGCCCCCAGGGCCTGTGTCAAGGCAGGGGGACAGCCAAGGTGCTCTGGGCAATGTGCTGAAGCCTACCATGGCCTCACTTACTCGTGCAGGGGAGAGTGGGTGTGCACCTTGTGCTGCAGCCTGACGCAGCCTGAGATGGAGTACGACTGCGAGAATGCCCGCTACACCCAGCCTGGGGTGCGAGCACCTCCTGGCCTGAGCCTATGCGACCAGAAGGTATGGAGAAGTCTCCTGAAGCAAGCTTTGCTGACTGGGGCAGCTGCATGTGTCCAGAGGGGCTGAGAGGCCTTTCTGGTGGCTGTCTTCTAGGCTGGGCCTGATGACTAGTCCCATGGGAACTGTGATTTTCCTTCTTGTATTAATTCTCTGGCCTGGGAACCTGCACTGTGCCTTAGTTAGTGGCTGATACCCTGTGGGACAGGCAGTTATCAACTATGCATAAATCATGTTTAGGTCCTGTTGAAGGATGGGGTGTGGTGGTGGTGGGAGGACAAAAATGACACCATTGCCAATTCTGATTTCTGCAGAAGTGTGAGAAGCTGGTTCTGTCCTTGTGTTGCAACAGCCTCAGCCTACCCTTCCATGAACCTGTCAGCCCCCTGGTAAGGAAAGCTTCACTCTTTCTGCCTGCTACCATCCTAACTGCTCAGGGAGCCCAGGCCAGTGATGGCGAACCTTTAGAGCTTTCAATGATACACACAGCCCACTGTGGTACATGTGCCATAGGTTCACCACCACTGGGCTTTCCATGGGACAGGATCATAGTGGTGCCCACGGTGGGTGCAGGGAATAGCTGCTGGAAGTAGTGAGAGTTTAATTTGCGGATGGTCCAAGGGACCCATCTCCCCTCCTCTTTTCCTCCACCATAACTGCTACTGCACAAACCTGACCTGTCAAATGATGCCTCCTCTTTTCCCTGTCTTTATCTTCCTCCATTTTTAAAAATTTCTGCTCTTTCTCACTCTTTCTTCTGTTCTTTCATTTATATTCCAACTTGTCTTCCATCTCTGCTCCCTTCTTATTTATACCTACACATTTTTTTCCCCTCCTCTTTCATTTCCACCCCTTCTCTCCTTTCCCAAGGCCCGGCATTATTACCAGATTATCAAAAGGCCCATGGATCTGTCAATCATCCGAAGGAAGCTGCAAAAGAAAGACCCAGCTCACTACACCACCCCAGAGGAGGTGGTGTCAGATGTGCGCCTCATGTTCTGGAACTGTGCTAAGTTCAATTATGTACGTCTTGCCTGTTATCCCTCCCTCCTGTTGCCCTCTCAGTGACCTAAGACTGTCATGGCTGGATAGGAGTGAGGGGGAGGGTCAGGAGTCCAATTTGGTCCTGGGCTTCCAGGAGGACCTGAGAACAGAGTCCTAGGGTCCACTGTGGTGAATATTTATTTATTGATATATTTTTATTTTTGTGGTGGGAAAAAAATAGTCTCGGGAAGGTAGGGAGACCCTTGGGGCTGGCCACCCGTGGATATTTATTTATCTAAGTCACTTCTGCTTTAGGAGCTGCCACCAAACATGTTATCCAGAGCTCTAGGAGAACGTGCCAAGTTCTAGCCATCCCAGGATGAGATCTCAGGATGGTCCAGCCAGGCTTTGTGGTTTCTATATAGCTTTTGAGAGAAGGGCCTGGAAGAAAGGAGCTGATTGAAGCAGGCCAGACAGGCAGTGTTTTCTTCCCCATCAGCCTGACTCGGAGGTCGCAGAGGCTGGCCGCTGCCTGGAGGTGTTCTTTGAGGGCTGGCTGAAGGAGATCTACCCAGAGAAACGGTTTGCCCAGCCAAGGCTAGAGGACTCAGACTCCGAGGAGCTGTCTAATGAGAGTGGATGTTCCACCCCTCAGGGCTTCCCATGGCCCCCCTACATGCAGGAAGGCATCCAGCCCAAGAGGCGGCGACGACACATGGTAAAGAGTTGCTACCAGCTGGCAGACAGGAGAGTGGTGATTGGGTAGGAGAAAGCCCTGAATAGCACATTTAGGGCAGCCCCATGTGAAGCTGCTTGGCTGGCATGAGGGACACTGGTGACAATGAACCTTTGTGTCCAACCCCTTAGCCTCTAGGGAAAGCAGGGCATAGTTCACCAACTCCAGTTACCAGTGAGGCTTGGAATGCAGAGAGGTGCATGTGACCTGTCCAGGGTCATCCAGAAAATTAACAATGGAACCAGGGTGAGGAGCCCTTGGAACTAGTTATTGACACTGTGATTGTTATGTTCATAAGAAGAGACATACCTGGTCTTAGCGCCTGATCTTTGTCCGGGTTTCAGGAAGAAAAGATTTTTGAGCCTGTTGGGAAGGAAGAAGAAGTATTGCTTGCAGTAGAGAAAACTCCTGTGGCCCCATCTGTATAGAGCTGAAGCATTAATTCTATGCTATTAAATCACACGGAAATGTATTGCCTGCTTCCTACGCGCTAAGGCCAGACCAAGCATTCCCAGATATTTACGATACTTAGCATACCATGTGTAGTTCTCCATGAGTCTTGTTGTTGGATTTCTGGGGTACAATAAAACACTTTGACTTTGGAAAATCCCAGTCTCGACATTGGTTTTTTTGTGTGTTAATAAATCCTACCTTTGCCTGTTCTAATTCCAAACATATGAATGTTTTTCTTCTAGGAAAATGAAAAAGCAAAGAGGATGTCTTTCCGCTTGGCGAACAGCATCTCACAGGTGTGAGAGCTGGAAGGAGACAGAGCACTCTGGTGGCTGGTGTCCCATTCTGCGGACCATTCCTCCCCATCCTTCAACTTATCCTCTTCAGAATGTGGCTGTGAGACGAGTCTCCTCGAGCTGCGCAGAGCTCTTCCTTGCCATTTACATTGACAGCATTTCTTTGGGAGTCACAGTGCATCCACTGCAGAGGAGATTTCATTAATAAACAGGAAAGAGGGAGGTCTTCCTTACTTGCCAGAGTAATCATATTACATATCCTGCCTGGTCGGGCTCTGGAGGACCTAACATTTTGGTGAATTCTGCTGCTGAGGAAAGCAGACCTTTCTCAGATTTTATTGGCCAGAGCTCAGGAGCAGTGTATGTATCTGAACTCCTCCTGGCACAGACGTGGGAGAAGAAGGGAGTGAGGTTTGGACATGTGGTTGGCCTGTGATCCCTGGCCCAGCACAGCCAAAGACTGCCACTGTTTACCATTGCTTGTCCTGTTGGGACAGAGTGCCTGCCTGGGCAGAATAATGGAGGCTTCTAGAGGCCATAGGTCTCGATTGGTGCCTATTTGGTTCTAACGGTTTCCAGGGTATTTGTTTTTCATAGTTCCTTTCCTGAGGTTGGCTTAGGTGGCTGCCATGAAAGTCCTCTGGATGGAATGGCATTTTCACCGGAGCTGGGTGGCTGTGCAGTGTGCACCTGCATCTTGTGGCTCAGATTTCACTTGCATTACGATGTCAACTTCAGAGTCTGCCTTCTGTGCCCCTTACTTTGGGCTAATAGCACTTTTTTGGTGTCAAAACCTATCTTCCTAGAAGTGATTGTTGTGTTTGTCTGTGGCCACCCCTTTCTCATTCCTATTCAGATATCTGGACTGTGTGTTCTCCTGGGGAAAACTGGGAAGCAGCCCCTGCCTGCTTCAGGCACAGAGTTCTCTGGGCACAAGAGTGATCCAGAACAGCTCACTCTGCTGGGGCCTCTCCTGCTCAGAGATTCTGTTCTTCACCTATCCAAGTTAGCAGAGCCAAAGATCAGAAGCAAGTGCCCTCACCTGCCTGCCTGCAGGCTGTCCACAGCCCAGGAAAAGCCCACACTTTGCTGGCATCCTTTTATATAGGAGGTTGGAGATGGCCAGAGGGACCAGCAGTAGCCTAGGCATTCCTGGGGGAAGTGCTGTCAAGGGTGGAGAAAAAAAAGAACAAGAGGTGAGAAATTAGTGTCCTTTGGTGAGAAGCAATTTCAGGACTTTAGCTCTCTTAGAAGGTAGGAAGAAACATTTGGAAGACATGGGAATAGGAGCTCAAGGCCGCACTGCAAATGCGCCTTCAGGGTCCCTGTGGGCTAAGGACAGAAAATGGGGGACAGGCCTTCTCCCAGGCAAGGATTGGATTGAGAAGAGACCTATTGCTGATACTGCCAGGGGAGTTATGGGCCAGGCATTTCAGTGGCCTGGCCTGCAGACAGCTTTTCTAGGTCCTATCACAGCATGGCCAGTTTCAGGGAAGTCTTGGATTATGGCTTTGTTTTTATGGAAAGATGCAGCTTAAGGATGTTCTCGTTTATAAGACCTTCATAAATGAGCAATTAAAAAAAAATCAGAAAAAATTTCTTCTTTCCTGGATGGCACTACTCTCATCCTTCTCATCCAGGTTGACCGATCTGCACTTCACAGAAATGTTGCCATTGACTTACCATTCTTTTAGCAGCAGTTGCTAAGCTTTCCTAAGTAGATTGGTTTCCCTAATTTTGCCTTCTTGTTTGGGGTAACCAAGTAATCATTGTAATCTTCAGGCAAGTGGTCTTCAGGGGATCTCTGGAGTCAGGCCTTAATCTCTGGGGTTCATGTGACTTTCTGGTTTGGACTCTGGCCACTTCCCTTTCAGTTGTTGAGTTTTCTCTCTAGTTGGCCTGGCAAGATTCCTTCTGTACTTACCTCATTAATTCCTGTCCTCGGCTCTCTTTCCTTCATGATCCACATTTCAGTTACCCCTGAGTGAGCATCATGTTCCTGGGCATTAAAAAGCCTCAGGGAGGCTGTGACAGGCTCAAATTTGACTGATATGATTCCATACAACCAGCTGGAGACCACAAATGGGAAAGAGAAAGACCTGATTAGAAGTTTGACTTCCTTACTCTCCCAGTAAGGCTCCCAGTTTGGGTGTGGCCTGTTGGACTCAAGGGTCAGCTGCTGGGCCTGGGGATCTTAGCGATATGGTGGAGTCCCATGTTCTTTCTGGTCTGAGACTCCACACTGAATGGCTCCCATTAGGCACCTGAGAAGGGAGATGGGAAGCAAGGATACCTTCCAAGGGTACCCTGGCCCACTGGTTATCCCATGGTGTTACCTTTTCCCTGGGTTTCCCTAAATACTTAATACCAATTTTTTAGTCATAGCTTTGTTTTATTTTGTTTCTGCATGCAGAATATATAACACAACTTTATATAAATTAAAAAAAATCCTGCTTACCAAGTAGTAAGTTGTTCTTTGATGCCATTTATGGTGATCTGACATTCTTATTCCCATAGTGGTCCCATTTTGAAGTCAGTTAAGCTCTTTAGCTTTTGGCAATGTCATGCCACAGAAATATAGTGCATACTGGGTTCTCATGGTATAGCATGTTGAGCCTTCGAAGAGAAGTTGGCTCTTGGCTGTGATTAGAAATGGGATAGTGGTGTGCCTTTAGTTGATGCAGAAGGGATTTTAATGCAGAATCCAGTGCAGACTCAGACTGAACTTGCAAAGCATTCTTCTGCAGACTGTGAGTTAGCTGACCCTGCCTGAGTCCTAGCAGTAGCTAACTGCACACCCTGACAGTAGTAACCCCTTTGCTGAGCAGAGCCTCCTTAGGCTAGACTGCTCCAGTCAGTCCTACCATCAACCCAGGAGACTCTGGCTTCTGGTACCTATTTCTAGCAACAGGTCTTTGCCTGGATCCTTATACTTAAGCCTCTCCTTGTTTGTTCCTGTCTCACATCATGGGATCACCCACTGCTCTCATGAGCTGAGCCTTTGATCCTGTCATCCATGGCCACCTCCTGTGCTTCCTTCTCTGCTGCCACACTCACTACTGCTGAAATTGTCTGCTTCTTTAGTCCATTTCCACAACCTCATCTCTCTCTCTCCTAAACTCTTGGTCTTCTGAGCTTCTCCCTCTTTCCAGCCTGAGCTCAGGGTCCATCACCAGGAATTCCGATCAGCATCCTGAACTTCCCCATCCTCTCTATCTTTTGCTGAGACTATCAACCCTTCTTCACTCTCTTCATCGGCCTATTTCCTGCTCCTTCTTCCTTACTTCTAAGGAAGACAGATTCATAGTTGACAGGCTCAGTATTGATTGAAAAATCTTTAAGGTATTGTTGCTCTTTTTTCTTATCGGTGCCCTTCATCTCTGCTTTCAGAAATGGCTGATTTCCTTGTCTACTTCACAGAAGAGAGCTCCTAAAACAAGAGCTTCCTTGCCCACCTCTCTCCCCGCCATTGACCTGTGTCTGCGTCTTTCTCCTCTCCACCCCTCTTGCTCTTGGTTAGTTTTCTATGTCTTGAATCTTGCTGTCTGCCCACCACAGCTTGACTCCCTCCCTTATGCCTCTGCTCCAGTTCCTGGGAGCTTCAGCCTCCTTCTCCATTAGTTATCTTGACATAGCCTGCAAGCAACCAAAGCTCTCTTAAGGTTAAAATAAAATATTTTAGAGTCTATTGTCCCTTACCATTTTTTCATGTCAGTCAAGTTTAGTTTAAAAATAGTCTTTTTTGTTGTTGATTTTTTTCAGGTACTCTTCAGATGTCTATAATTTTGCATAAAAGTCACCAGTGACCACCCAGTTGCCAAATCAAAGGAATCCTTTTCGGTCCTCAACTGCCTTCAGCTGTCCTTAGCATTTCACCCCAAGCACCACTCACTCTGTGAAATACCCTTTGCACTTGCTTTCAGGATTCCATGTGTCACTGGATTGTCCTCAGTTCTCTAAGATCCACAGACTTAGCCTAGACAAGGGGCATGTGTGTGGCTGTCTGCAGTTTCTCCTCTCTGGGAATTGGATAGGCAGAAAGAATCAGAGCTGCTCTGATCCCTACCCTCCATGTCTATTTTCCTCCCTGACTCAGTTCATCTCCTGCCAAGCATGTGTATGAGCTCCTACTGGGGTGGTGGGGGCAGTCTCTGTGAGGCCTTTGCCCTGTTTCTTCCAGTTCAACACATACTGCATTGTAGCCATTTGCTTTGGCTCCATTTCCATCAGCCTAAGAGGGTGGATAGACCTTTATAATATCCAAATCATAGTCTGGCTAAAGTACATTACCTGGTAGGCAATGCATCAGCATATTTTCACACTGGCTAGAACATGTACTGTTGGGAGGCCAGGATCATGGTAAAACATGGTTTTGTTCATGATTCAGTGCTTCAACCAGAAGGGGACTCCTGGAAGGGGTGCATACCTCCCATTGATAACATTCTGATAGGGTGGTGACTGGGGACCGCTGTAGTCATCACTTACCTGAGCTTAGCTGGGGTCATAACTCCCTTTTGCCGGGTCTTCCCCATTTAGGCAGATCATCATCACCTGCTTGCTCCAGATGGAGCCAGATGTTGCGTACTTGGAGGTAAGGATGTATGGTAGGAATATGTCTCATTGGAGAGTCTGAACACCTCAATTTTGGCTTTGCTAATTATGGGCTGTTTGACCTTAGTCTTGGTTTCCTTTTCTATAGAGTTGGGATGCGGGTGGCTGAGAACAGTGACCTCTCAGAGACTCCTCAGCCCTAAAGATCATAACTGGCTCTCAGGCCACACAGGAATTATGGAACTTGAGATGTGGGACACAGCTAGTGGTATCCTGATCAGGGCATGGAAAAGGATTCATGGGCCAAATGGAGCTGCTTCGAGGAACGTCCTCATCAGTTGGTGCTGTTTCTTGAGCCATATGCCCATTCCTCAAGATGTACCCTTCTTGGACATCTAGGTTGAGTTCCTCATAGACCTCTTCTAGATGTGGCCATTGGGTCCAAAGTGGCTAGGGATATGAGGGAAGAATATTGTAAGGGGAAGTATAACTGATTTTAAAAGGATCTACACATTTAAGAATAA